TATGCTGTTAGTTGTTTGAGTAGATACATGTCTAATCCTGGTATGGCTCATTGGAATGCTCTAAAATGGCTTTTGAGATACTTAAAATCTACTAGGAATGTTGGTTTAACTTTTTCAAGAAGTGATAAAAGTGTTAGATTAATTGGCTATGTGGATTCTAACTATGCAAACGATAGGGATAATAGAAAATCCACTACTTCCTATGTGTTCACTTTGTGTGGTTCTTGCATTAGTTGGAAATCTCAACTTCAACATATTGTTGCTTTATCTACTACTGGGGCTGAGTATGTTGCTGCCACAGATGCGTTTAAAGAAGCCATTTAGCTTAAAGGTCTTTTATCTGAAATATGCTTGCTCGATAAGAATGTGGTTGTTTTTTCTGATAGTCAATCTGTCATTCAACTATGCAAAAATCCTGTTTTTCATGATAGAACAAAACATATTGATGTTAGGTTTCATTTTATTAGAGACATAGTTGAAAAGGGAATTGTCATGCTGGAGAAAATTCCTACAGAATCTAATCCAGCTGACATGGGTACTAAGTGTTTACCGATTGAAAAATTTACCTTATGTCAAAAGATTTTAAACCTATCTCTGTGATTGTGTGCTGATCTTTTGTTCCTTTTTTTTGGTCTTTGTGACTTTTGCTTTTCTTTTGTTTTTGAACTCGATGACCCAATGGTAGAGTTCGACTCTTCGTGAGTTATTTTTGGCATGCTTTGTGATGTTGCCTAGTCTTCGTGACTTGAGAGTACTTAGTGAACTCTCAAGTCACGAATAATGACTAGTGGAAGGAATAATGTCCAGCAACAATGGATATTTAGTTGAATAATGACTACATGATAATGACCAAAAGTCCTACATTGGGAAATAAAAACATATACTCCTATATTAGGAAAGTCATTATGTATTAGTCTTATTTAGGTAAATTTCTCGATGTGTTCTAAATACACTCACAATTACAAAGTTTGTTTTGTTTTGTTTTGTTTTTCAAATGAAAATTTAAGTTCCAAGACTATGCCTCATGTTAATTCCGTTACCCTACTAACCTGAATTAGGGGTATGGTGCATTTGGGAATGTGGTGACTTCTTCGTATTACGAAATAAAATGTTATTGATTAATTTTTTTTCTTATTTCTTTATTTTCTTATTGTATTTGTGACTATATTCCTTATTTTTACTAGGATTAGAAGTCTCTCATGTAATTCTTATAAATAAATATGTATCATTCGATACTCAATAAAACCAATTATTATCAAATTGTATCATGGTATCAGAACGAAGTCTCCCAAACCCTAATTTACCTTTTTCGAAAAGAAAAAGTGACAAGTGAGAAACTATAAAACCAAGTATTCAAATTTGACGAAAATAGAATGAAAATTTAAAACCAAAAAAAAAAATTATTCTCTTACAAAAGCAAATCAAAAGGCGCTCTAGTTATATTTAACTTTAAAATTTTAACGGGTCAAATCAATTGTTGACCCTACCATCTACCCCAACATTCTGAGAGGAAAATAGTACTCCCTCCGTCCTAAAATAACCTTAGAGGTTTGGAATTCCAAAAATAACCTTAGTTTTTATACTTTAATGATACAATCTATCGAGTTTAATCAAAGCTTTCGAATGAAACAGAATGTCCTTCACGGGTAAGTTAATGTACATTTGGAGGTACCCCGGAGTATATTTTAAAAATGCGAGGTACCCGATAGTTAGTTTCTAAAAATAGAGGGTACCTCGGAGTATATTTTAAAAATATGAGGTACCCGTCAGTTAGTTTCTCAAAATATGGGGTACCCAGGAGCAATTTTCTCCTAAAGAAATGTAAAGTTGGTACTCTCTCCGTCTGGCTCACTATTTTTGAGAAGTGTTAGTTTATGTTTCTATGCTCAATTGATTTGAAATGATTTAAATGGGAGTATATAAACACAAGGGAGAATCACTCACCACTGTATAAAATATGTATGTAAATAGTAAAACCCCAGCAAACTGGAATGTAGCATAAGCCCATATGCAACTCTTGCTCACTGCAACATGCAAATTGTACTATATGTTACAGTTAAATACATAATTTATGAAGTGTTTTTCTGTGTACTTATAAACTGACTTATCATATTATTCGCATAAAAAACAATACCCATGGTAGAAGCCATGATAGTTGAGGGGAGTGCTAAACCAGAAGATATGGGCAAGGACCAGACAATAGAACGAGAAGCACCCATGTCACACACCTACAAAAATCGGAAACACAATGGTAGTTTTATTTTTACAAAAATGCTAGAAACTCACCAAGTACGTGTTCCCAGAGCCGACTCAAGGGAATGTTGTTCTTCCCACTTTCTTCTTTGGTCCGTCCGGAAATATTTTTCTCATTTCTTTTTTTAGTATAGTTTTAAAAATAATTATCAATAATACCCTTCTATTTTATCACTAATACACTCTTTATTGTTTTTAATAAGAAAAAGGAGGTTTAAAAACTAATAGTATGTGCATTTTTGAAAATCAGACACTTTTTTTACCACTCTTTAATAAGCATTTCAAGTCAACACGCTTTCCCAAAAGAGAAAGTGGGACGGAGGGTGTATTGTTTCAAACAAAGTAGTTTACATAATTTAATTTATGGGGGTTAGGACCCATTTTTTCCGTCTCGGCCATGGCCACAGAATCCTCCTTGGGGCCAGCCCATGCAAGCATAAACGATGATTGTCTCTGTGTAAGAGACAATGATTATGTCTTTATATGTTTGTAAAATACTTAGATGTCAAACTATTTTTTTTATTTAAAGGAGTTCTTTGTTGACATTAAGGAGTTGTTTGGTTGGACGACTTTGGGAGAGAGGGTAGGAAATGCAAAAAATAGTACCAGAAGCTGCTCCAAGAAACAAAAATATGCTAGCATACTGATCAAAAGCAAAATGGGCACATCCTTCCAAATCCTGGATATATATATAATATTGAAATAAAATCACTCACATTATTAACATAAATAAATAATTAAATTTAATTTTTTGTTTAGTATTTTCCTGTCTTCTACGGAGTAGTTTTTAAAACGGTGTTTGTTTTTCGACACCTTCCAAATAAGCGGTTTATTGAATTTCAAAGGATTAGTATATGATATGAGTTTTGATAATTAATATCTGAGAGAAATAATACTCTCTCCGTTTCTCAAAAGGGTTCCTCTTTTGACTTTAGGGAGAAATAAAGAAGTGTTAAATTGTAGTTGACTTTCCAATTTTTGCCCTTGATGTGATGGGTAAAAGTAAGATGTGATAGTTTAGTTGTTAGTGAAAAGTATGATGTGATAGGTACGGTATGAAAAAGTAGTGGTAAAAGTGGTTTTTTAATAGAAAAGGGAAGTATCTTAAGAAAAACAAAAAAAATGAAAGAGGAAGAGTTTTAAGAAACGGATGGAGTATGAGTTTTGAATCTGAAATGAAGGGTTTTAGATCATTTACAACCCAAATGCTTCTCCAAAACCTATGCATTGAAATTGATGATGTGAAGAGATTATGAAGCTATGAATGCTTCCCCTTATTTAAGGGGGGTAATATGTAGTTTATTTTGGAATGTTTGGAAATTTATAGGGTTGAAGTTAAAAGTTTCTAAAAAAATAAAAGATTAGAGAAAATGATGAGTAAATATAAGGCCCACAAAAGAATTATTAAAAAATGGGGAAGCATTTTATGAAAAAAAGGATGACTTTTTAGGAAAACAGTTCCTACATTGACTTTAGGCAAAAATAAGGAAGGGTTGTGATGGTGTAAATATAGCTGGGCGGGTTAACCGGGTCTAACCTGGACACTCGACCCGTAATATAAAACACACAACAAGAACACAAAGTATGACCTAGACCGGGTAAATCTCCTAAGTCCGAAATGGATATTCTCAATCCAATCAACCCTGCAAAATGACAAACATCCCTTTCAATGTGTGCCTCGTGATGGATGAGCGGCGGGGTGTCCCCTTGACCTCTGACGTGGTTCACCATGCCTAAGAGACTGGACCAATGTTATCCAAGTAAAGTGATATGACCGGTCACCTTCTCTGAAAGGTTACCCGGTCATTTCTTGCGCTCAACCCGTCTCTTTGGTCTTCTAGAATGTCCTTCGTAGAATAAGGTGATATTTTCGCTATCGCCCAGAATGTGACCGGTCACTTTTTTAGTGGAAGTGACCGGTCAACTTTTGACCCGTCCAAATCGAAGAGTTAACCTCATTTGGTGATTGATAAAAGTGACCGGTCATACTTTGACCTGTCCCTTTCGGTTGTCCGGGTCGGGTATATGGATATACCCATCAGGTTGTTTGGAGTTGACTTTCCAATTTCATCTTTGATGTGATAGATAGAAAAGTTAGTTTCCAATCAAAAGTCAGTTTTAATAGAAAATAAAAATGTTTTGGTGAAAGAGGAAAATAATGAAAGATGAACGGTTTTAGTAAACAAAGAGGGTAGCTTAGTAGTGATGGCTATAAACCACCGAGAGTATGAAATAATAGAAGTTTTAGAGAGAGAGAGAATGCAAAGTAGGAGTATATTGATTTCAAACTGGGATCCCTTACAATGAGGGGTGCCACCCCTTTTATAGGCGGTACAATTCACTAAGTCAAAGCCCTCTAATCGAGGCTCGTCGTTTAGCGGACGTCACCTGTCCTTAGGTCTTGTCCCTTTCATCCTATCGCTTTCACCAAGTCTTTGTTGAACGTCGCTTTCCGCACGTCGTTGTCGCGGGGTTCGGGCTCGGCTTGGCTGGCCGAGCCGAGCAGGAGGGACGAGCGGAGCGCAGA